TTGCCTTAAATATCTAAGGTTGAAATTCTGATTTTCCGAATATTTCAGTGAATGCACCAAATAAAAGGATATTTACTAAAAATTGTTCCAAATGTCAGTAATTGTTTGCTGGTTGTGTCCATCAAGTTTTTTATGTGTGTTTTTTTTTTCACCCCTTCAACATTTCGGTCTCCAGATGTTGTACACAGTATTATTAATCCATTATTATTTTCAGCTGCAGCACATTAGCTACCCACTTACAATGATGTCAGACCTTGACACTGATAGCGTGCTTACTTATCTTTACTGTAATAATATGAGGATGTGACGGATGATTGTGTCACATGCTGCCCACCATGAGCTTTGTCATTATTAGTGAAGGGTGAAAATTTGTGCTGCTGTTCCAAGTGTCAGCAGATTTTAAAACACCTACACTTGTCATACAGGGATAAAACTCTCAAGAACACATCTATAATTTTACTTTTTAATAAAAAGGGATGTCTGATGAAAGCTGATTCAAACTGCGAAAAGAAAAAAAAACTTGACATTTATCCTCTAACGTCTAATTCATTATTAATGTCAAGTGAATCCTTCTTTCTTTTCTTTGTCTAGGGGCTTTGTGCTGGACGGGTCGCAGCGGGAAATATTATTTGCATGTGTTTCATCTCACATGTCCCAAGCTGTGCTTCACACTAAAGGCATTATGAGCCATGAATGATGATGCATTGTTCTGCCATGCACACACACACCCACACACACCTGTTCTCACACGGTGGGAGGCTCACATAAAAACAAATCTATGCTCATGAAAGGGTATGATAGGCCCTGTCACTTGTGTTTTCTGTGTCAGGCATCGTTTAGAGAGATATAAACAACCACCTTGTTACACTGCATAATATCCCTTAGAGCCTGGATTTGACTCTCTTCCGTGGATGCGTTAAGAAAATTGCAAATAATTTGCGGTGTTTGTTGTTGCTCCTTGGAGGAGAGGTGAGGTGGACAGGTTTGTAAGTCAAGGCTTTTGAACGTGCTGATTAAAATGTCTTTCTGTGGATTTCCTGATTGTGGTAATAATGTGGCAATCGCTCTCTTCCTCTCGGTTGTAAAGCCCACCCACATGGGATTGCGAGCGAGATCAATCAAATGCAAATACTGTTAGATCCAGGTCTGCTTTGTTGTAATGAATTCTCTGTCTACTCTGCTTTGTCTCAGATTTGACCTGATGTCATGTCAAATAACGCAAAGATGCCAGCAAACGCTGCTGCATTTCCTCTGCCAGCCATTATATCATAGCTAGAGGTGCTGAAGTGACCTGTATCTGCTCTGGTATGGTTGTCTAGTGGACAGCGAGGGGGCAGGGGCCATTTGCTCTATCTCCCCCCTTCTGATTTAATCGCCCCACAGGGACCTGCTTAGGCTATCCACTTCATGATTCCCATTTGGTGGTTAGAACCCTGATGGGGGTGTTTAAGGCTTAACGTCCCCATTTGTTTTCCTGTAGGTAATCGATGGCAGACTCAGGGTTACAGCTAATGTGATTTATGTGTCCTATTTCCACTGTTATGCTTCATGTACAAATTGTCTTCGGTGAAGTAAATTCCCCAATCTTCTCCCAGCTTGCTGACACTGAATACCGGCTGCCAAACCCAAACGATTAATCCATGTTTGTGTCCAGGTCCTTTTGTTTTTTTCCTCTTAAACAATCTGCAAATCATGACATACTGTAACAGTGAAACTTGAGTCGCCCCTTATCACTCATCTTTATGTACAATGAGCTAAAATTTCAAAGATTTCACCCACACGTCTTGCAGAAACATCGTTTTAAGCCTCACGTTAATTGGAAGGTGTTTCTATTTGGATTCGGTGCAGAGCAGCACAGTGAAATTAATCATACCCCACTCTTGACTCTTAAGTAAATCATCTGCAGTCGAAACACAAAGCAAATCTAATCAGCCTATTCATTCAGTGATGCATACCCTTGTGATTATGCCACTACCTGCAGCACTTAGGTGCACATTAATACCCTCTTTCAGTGTTGCTCTGGGGGAACATTGATGCAATTAATATGAATTGTGTGAGAAAACGGCATACTGTGTTTAAATGTCGGACAATAAAACCTTAATCAAGTGGACGTATGTGCTGTATCTTTGTAATAACTTTGAGTAAAAACCTTGTAGATATTTTCTTCTTGCAAAAATATCCTAATATCGCCCGTCGACTGTCGGGGAATTAGGTGAGAGAGGGGTCCACAAACAGTGGCCACAAATGGGAAAGTAAAGAAAGTAAAGCTGCTTCTTGAGCTACGAATTGCAACCAGCCATAAGGAGAGTCTCCTCTTGAAAGCACATTTTCTTATAGCTCCATTGTTTAGAAAACACACTTTATGTGTTATTTAAGCTGAGTTCAAGGTACAATGTGCAGCGGTGAATTCCTCCCATGATATCTCTTTTGACAAGATGAGAAAACACGTTTCTTAAGCTGCTGCACTCGGTTGTCAAGGGAACATTTCTGAAAAATGGAGTGTTATGCTCTGAGAAAGCATGCTCAAATATTTGCATAAAGCCAAATACCATATTTAGAGACAAACAGATTGAACTGCAGGTCCAAAAGACGAGATGACGAGGCCCCTGCTGTAGCCGTTCCATTGCTTTTCTATTTTTGTGCCTTCTGATAGTTGATTGTCAATGCTGATGCTAGACAATATTATGGAGAATGTGACTGGGGGTTTATTGTCTGCTATCTGTTGTGTTAGCTGCCTGGAGCTGAACTGTGATGATGCAGTGTCCCTGTCCAAGAGCCAAGGACAGTCCTCTGCAAGAGGCTGAGCAGACTCTGATGGACGAAGGAGAGAGGGCACAAGAGGACAGAACACTTCTGAAGCACTCTTGGCATCAAATATAACATCTTGCTTGTATAACAGTATAATTATATTAATCAAGACTGAGATCTTTGACAGCAGCTGACAGTAAAAAAAACAACAACCCCCCCCAGCATAAACACGTGTGTAAATCAGCTTTCAATAAAGGCGACAGTGATGTGATATCCTCACAGATTTAATGGTGACAATACATGAATGCTGAGCATTTATAACTGAAGATAGAGAGCAGATGTGACTCAGTCCGAGCCCAGGTTAACTGCCCTGTTTAATGGAGAAGTTATATAGTCTTGGACTCCATTATATATATAACAAAAGGCATGTAAATGAAGATATAAATTATATATTAGTGGACGAGATGTGGGAGGAATAAGAAAGAGGAGAACACGCGGTGTATCAATCTCCATACTGATTCTAGGGGGAGTGAACCTATTAAGATCACAGGGCTGTTCCCGAGCGGTATAGGCAAACCATCTACTGATTTACATTACAATTCAGGCGTTCAGCCGACACTGATACCCATGTGGCTTTGAGTGAAAGAGTGTAGCAGGTGTAGCACCTACCGTAAGTGCCCTGCTCATGGACACATTTCTGTTAGTGTGTGTCTGCTGCCTGTTGTGGGGATCAAACTTGTGACCTTTTCCTCAAACAACCACCCAGCCGCCATCTTTAATAATCAGTTAAATATGTTGCAGTAGCATTTCGTACCAGCTGGTATTAAACTGATGACTGCAATGTGTTTGATTGTGATTGTTAAAATGCATTAAAATGTTGTGGATGGAACATCAACTTTACAGTTTGCAAAGAAGGGTATAATTCATCATCATGGCCCAATTATGGTCGATAAATCCAGAGGAAATAGTCAATAAGAAATCTGTTGAAAGGCAAATGGCTGCTTCACTTGACTTCTTTTTCAGACCTCCATATGCTTCCATGATAAAGGCATGATAGAAGTTATAAACAGCCGTGGTTGCAGGTGTCAGCTGATGCGCAGCTGGTAATTCTGTAACCATATCCATTTGAGTGCAAAAAAGAAAAAACAACAAATGAAAAAAAATCAGCATGATTGATTGCAATTATGTTTTGTTGTCATTCCAGAGTCGGATGAAAAGTGCAGCCACGGTTGCATAGAAGACCAATAGTTTTTGACTCTTCAATAACCGCAATTCATGAAGTGAGCAGTAAATGGCTTCATACTGTACTAATGAAAGCAGTTTGGTTCCTCTGAGGGAGGATTATCCCTAATTGGCCCAGCTGGATAAACAGAGCTGGTGGTGTTAGCATACTGCATGGCAAAGCAAACACACCAACCTATTCCTACCTTTCTAAAAAAATTAACTTTCTTTTTTTTTTAGAAAGGTATTATCTCCAAGCCCAGGCATTATTCCATCTCAGGGGATAAAAATGTTTCCTTTGACATTTGGTCCCACCCAGCACATCTCCCGGTGTTCCTTTTTCCTCTCCTCAGTTCGTGTCATTCTTCCTCCTCGTCACTTTTCCCTCCCTTTCTTTTTCTCTACGTCTGTACCTCCCCATCTCTTCTCACCCCTCATCTCTTTGGGTTACTGGCCCTGTCTTAGTCTCCTGATTCAGTGCTCCATTGGTAGATCAATAGAAAGGCTCTCTGTCCCCCCCAATACCCCCCATCTTCCTCTCTTCAATCCCCCTCCTACCCCCACCCCAACCTCCCCATGTCTCCCCAGATGACTGCAGACACACATCCTCCTGGGAAGCTGGCTTTCTACATCCCATACTGGAGAGCATCTCCCCCCCTCTCCTCTCCGGATCACTTTTCATCTCCATTCACCTCGAACTTGGGAGAGGTAGAACTGCACGGCGCCATAATGGGCTTTTTAAAGAAGACGGAGACCGGAGGCTTTTTCTGGGAGCCAAAACAGAAAACAGCCCGAGAAAATAGGATATCAGTGCAAGACACAATGTGAAAAGCAGAAAGGGAAGTGAGAGAGGTAAAGAAAAAGAAAGGCAAGGGAAAACAGGATGAGAGAAAGAGAGAGAAGTTGTGCATTCAGCTAAGCTGCAGAACGCTGGCTCCCTCCCCAACCCCTTTCCCACCCTGCTTTTCTCCACCCCCTGGAAAAGTGTTCTGTCTCTCTCTCTCTCTCTACCTCTTTTCTCTCTCCTCTCTGCAGCTGTGGTCTGCTGAGTGTCACCTCCACACAGCAAGTGCCTTTACTTGGGCAGAACAGGGAGAAGGAGCGTAGCTGTGAGAGAGACACACGGAGAGAAAGGGGGAAAAAAAATCTCAGGAGTGTGTCTCAACGCACCAGAGGAGCATCTCTCTGACTTCGGAGAGGGCTGAAGAGCGCACAGAGACTGACGGGCAGAGACAAGCAGCGGCGTTGGAGTATAACAGTGCTGGTGGTGTTGGCAGAGCACGCCGAGTGGACACAGGGGAATCCACCGGCGCTGTTGATCCTGGTGTCCCTGGCAAGAAAGAAACAACAACAAAAAACTGCTTGAGCGGGAGACAGAAAGCGGTGCAGCAGCCAGGATCTCGCCAGGGGGGCAGCATTTTACAGCGACAACGAAGCGTGGAGACAGCTGAAACCTGCGCGCAGACACACTCTCTCTCCCTCACACGCGCGCATGCACACACACACATGCAAACAGTGAGTGTGAGCGAAAAGGGACGCTCGCGGTGCTTTCAAAAGAGCCACAAAAATCCTTCTTCTTGTGAAACGCACATACTTGCACAGGAAAACAACACAAAACATTTCATCTTCTTCGGCCAGGGATGGTGGATGATGAAGGAGAAAACTTCTGGAGAGGAAATTGTCTTTGAAGCAGGACTTACTGCTGAGGTTTTGTATTTTTAATCAACTTTGTCACCACCACCCTGTTTTTTTCTTTTTGAAGTTGGGGCATTTTAAAGCCTCCGTCTAAGCACAACAACTAAACAACCTCTATTCTTAGAGGCAGAAATTGAGAGCTGTCTTTGTGACCATCAAGATGTCTATTCCTGATTCGGTCTGATTGGTAAGTGGATTATGACGGCAAGATTTGGGGATTTTTCTTTCACCTGAAGAAAGAAAGAAGGAAAGAGCGACAGAAACCTATCCATGATTGGTGGATTTATGGCTGTCAGAGAAGGAGAGGATCCCTTGCCTTTTCTCCTCTCTTCTCCTGTGGATTACAGATGGGCTTTGTGATCTCCCAGTGCAGTCTCATGGATGATCGCTCGCTGCCAGTCATTAGGATAAAGTACAAAGAGGGACACAAGTGAGTATTCAGCTGGATTTTTATCTCTCCAGCTTAAGCTTGCATGAAAACAAGGGTGTCGAGAGTGAATCTGTAACGAGAGCACATCGCAGCAGCTTTTCTCTTTTAATAAGAGAAACTGCAACTCGCTGATTAAACTGTTGTGTTCCCTGAATAATTATCAGAGCGTAAAAAGGTAGGCACATCCTGAGATATTAATTCACAGACAAGTGAAGCTGTATGTTTACAGACCGTTTACCAATTAACACAATTTACTAAATGAGGGGTGCTGTCTACCCGGCAGGTGGCTTGGGCACAGGCGGAGATTGATTGAAGTGATCTGTGTGAATCCTATTAATGCATCCTGGATTGTGGCCAAGAAAGAAGCAATGGAGGGGAACACCGCTGTCTAGCAGCGCTATCTGATCTGCCTCTCACTGGACAACTGAGGACCCTCTGCACTCCCTCTTCAACGACACTCCTCCTCCTCTTCTTCTCAGACAGGCAAGGATGGTACCCCCGCCTCCCACCAACAAACCCCACGTGTGCTTGTCCACCATTCTGATCATGAGCAGCATGGCGCTGATTGATGCCTACCTGGTGGAGCAGAATCACGGCCCCCGCAAGATCGGCATCTGCATCATGGTGATGGTGGGAGACATCTGCTTCTTAATTGTCTTGCGTTACGTGGCAGTGTGGGTGGGCGCCGAGGTGCGCACAGCGAAGCGAGGCTACGCCATGATTCTCTGGTTTCTTTACATCTTCGTGCTGGAGATCAAGGTCTACTTTGTGTATCAAAACTACAAAGCAGATAGGAAGAGCTTGGACGCTCTCGCGAGGAAAGCCTTGACCTTGCTGCTGTCTATTTGCATCCCGGTGCTGTTTGTGGTGCTGGTGGCTATCGACCACATGGAGTATGTTCGAGCCTTCAAGAAGCGCGAGGAGATCCGTAACCGCCTCTTCTGGGTGGTGGTGGACTTGCTGGACATACTGGACATCCAAGCCAACCTGTGGGAGCCACAAAAGAAAGGGCTTCCTCTGTGGGCCGAGGGCCTGATGTTCTTCTACTGCTACATCCTCCTGCTCGTGCTGCCCTGCGTGTCCTTGAGCGAGATCAGCATGCAGGGCATCAACATTGTCCCCCACAAGATGCTCCTGTACCCCATCCTCAGCCTTGTGACCATTAACATCATCACTCTGTTCATCCGCGGAGGGAACATGCTTTTGTACAGGGACGCCAGGGTATCTGGGATCCTAATAGGAAAGAACATCTTGGCCATCATCCTAAAGACCTGCAGCTTTGTGCAGTACAGGAGACAGTTGCAGAATGCTCCTCCCGCCTTCGGGGTCGAGCTGCAGAAAAACTCAGTGGCCCATGCTCGCCCTGCCCCCACCCCTCCTCAAGTGGTAATGCAGGATCAGACACCCCTCCCCGAGGTGACTACTTGCGAACACACATGACAAAACAGCGGGGCGAACCCTGGAAATGTCAATACAAGTGTATATGACCCTCAGGACGCTGGCGGGGCACAGTGTTCCACACCTTTTAGGGCATGCGAACACTCATGTGAACACACGGGAGATCAACATCTCCTCTGATGCTTCATGGCACAGAGAACACTGCAGACACTTAGTGATGATAGAGCGTCGGATCCAAAGCTGTCATTGGTGCAAAATACAGTATTATTTGTGACTTTGTTAAAGCGTTTCCTCCAGTAAATCCAGTTACCTGTGTATTTTTTCTAATTGTACAACTGAAAGAAAAAAGAAAAACAACCTATTGCAACTATTGCAAGATTAGAGGAATATATTTTTGAATTGTGTGTGTTGCATTCTAATCTTAAATTTAAGGGTCTGTGTGGTGTGGTGTGCATTTTCTGTTCCTCGATTGTTCCTTGTAGTCGAGGGCTTCAACGTGTCCGATTTAGAGGGAGCAACCAATGAGAGAATCAAACAGTTAAAAGCTTTCTCTGGAAAAAAGTGTTTTTATATGTGATTCTTTGATAAAGTATTGTGTACAAGATAAAGGCTCTCCTGCGCTCTCACTGGCTGTAAAAGGGGTTTTTCATAAAGGCATTTGAAAGTTACTGGACCAATCGACTATATTTCACCTTTTAATTAAAATTCAGCAAATGTTCTTTAATTAACCTGGGATACAAAGAAAGACAGACAATGATTTTGTCCCCCCCTTTTCTCACTCTGGTTCAATCTACAATTAGAGGCTGCTTAACTGGCAAAGTGGTGCCTTTGCAGTGTCATTCATCTTGAGAGTGATCATACATTCCAGGGTGGCAATTTTGGGGGACATTTGAAATGAATTATCTGCACAGTTATGAACCGTTTTATCACAGCAAAAGGCTCACTGAGATGCAGTTAGCCACAGGATAAAGTACACAGCCGAGGGCCGGCACTGCAGACGGATAAATGATTCCCAAATAAGGAAGCCCGTTTAATATCCTCCTCAGGCAAACAGTAACTATCTGTGCTTGCGCTTCGTGGCGGCAGCAGTTCTAAGCACTGTCATTTTGTTCCTCACACAAAAGACAAAATGGATACCTCGGTCCAGTGATGTGAATCCACGCAACAAGCCAAGAAAACATCATGTCTTCTAATATGATAAATCTCTTTCAGCCCTCAGCTCTCCGCCACCAGTTGAGTCAGAGCTGGAGCTTGTTTCCAATTTCAGTGATGGACACGCTTAAATTTTTTGCTAAATCTCAATATGAATGTCAAAGACAGAAAAAAATGCTGGGAATGACATATTTGCTGCAAAGAATATTTTTTACTGGGCCTTCACTATCTATCCGAAACATAAAACTGAAGGTCAGGTGCTTTAATTTGATGCAGTGCACAAATGACACTGGCCGAGGTGCCACAAAAACGTGAACAATGTTTTTGCAAAAGGTTCCTGCTCTTGTTCTTTTTATTTTATTTTATTTTTTTGCATAATCTTTCTCACTGCATGCATAATGTAAAAAGCACAATGATTATCGAAACCAGTGTTTTTTTTATCTATGCAAGGCTCAGTTACAGGAAGGTAGCAGCATTTGGTGGCACAAAACAGGCTGTTGCATTAAGACTGCTGCAGCTAGCATTATTTTGTCAGTGTTGTTGGCTTGTAAAATTACAGCATCAGCAATTTGGACTATAATACACAATTGAATTGTATTGTTTTTGCAGTACTGATGCAATGAAAAGAAAGCATTCATCCTTTAAAATAGTATTTGTGATTTAAAACAATGATCAAGTGTTTTTTTCTGAAACTAGCAGCCTTACATCTCTCGCTGTATGGAGGACCACATAACAGCTTTCTATTGGGTTCTACAAACAAAAGGAAAACTGCCATTTTTGCAAAAACAAACAAAAAAACAAACCCAAAACAAATAGTTTGTTGTATAAATCAAAGCATGAAAACCCCTATATAAAGGGGGGCATTCTGTTCCTTTCCAGCATATTTTCATCTTTTGACTCCAGTAGAGTAGCTTTGCATAAGTCACAGGTCAAAAATAATTCTTATTTCTTACACAGCCCCTCACTTCATCCATTCTCTGAAACCCCCCCATTCCCTTTCCTTTAGGATTACTTTCTTATGACTCTCTGCCCTTTTCAAACAGATGTTTGGAGCAGCGGGTGGATGAGGAGATCCGCTCATTAACATCACACGCAGCCGAGAGAAGGAAAAACTGCATTTTTACATACACTAATCTCCTTATTTGAAACTTATGATGTATTTATTTAAAATATAAACATTCATCACTGCATGACATAAACTCACCAGCCAGTTTGTTAGGTACACCTGTTCAAGCTCTCTATCCATCCATCCATCCATCCATCCATTTCCTTCCACTTATCCAATTCAGGTACAGTTGGGCTGGAACCTATCCCAGCTAATTTAGAATGAGGGGGGGGCACATATCGCAAATTTATCACAGGGCTATTACAGTTTTCATTAATGCAAATCTCTAATCAGGCAGTCACATGACAGCAACTCAGAAGATTCAGGCATGTAGACATGAAGGTAAGGGAAAGTTCAAATTGAGCATCAGAATGGGAAAGAAAGGTGATTTAAGCAACTCTGAATATGGGATTGTTGTTGATACCAAACAAATGGACTGAATAAATGAGAAATGGACTTATATAGTGCCGTTCTAATCCATTTGAGTGCTAAAAGTTTTTTATACGCCATTTTCCATTCACCCAAGCACTTTTTTCTACATAAGTGCTTTCTATCACTCTGAGAGATGCATCAGAGAGCAACTTGGGGTTAGTGTGTTGCCCAAGGATATTTGGAAAGCAGACTGGGAGCAGTCAGGGATTGAACCATCAGCCTTCTGATTAGTAGATAACCTCCTGAGCTGCAGCCACCCCTTAGTAGTTCAGGACTTTAGTATTTCAGAATCTGCTCATTCAATCGATATCTAGGTTTTATAGAGAATGGCATGAAAAACAAAAAATATCCACTGAGGATAAATCCCTCAATGATGTCAGAGGAGAATGGTCGGACTGCTTTGAGCGGATAGGAAAACAGCAGTATTTCAAATGAACCCTTCTGCATACCTTGTTACAAATAAAGGTATGCAGAAGCAAAAGACCACAGCAGGGGTCATTCGATATCTGCAGTAACTGTGTGATGCTATAATGTCAATATGGTCCAAAATCTCTGATATGCCACCATGAATCTATGCCACGAAGAAATAAGGCAGTTCTGAAGACAAAGGATGGTCCAACCCAGTACCACCAATGTGTATCCAACAAAGTGGCCAGTGAGTGTATATGTTACAGAAAATACAGTACTGTTCAAACATCTTGAGCCACCTCTTATTTCTTTATATTTTGCTTGCAAGGAGCCAGACAAAGTGCATTTGAGCAATAAGCTTCTATAAGCTTTCTGAAGGTTATTCAAACATTTTCTTTGGACATTGGCTACTTTTTGTAAACCTATTGTCTCTCACCATTTTAGAGGTCTGTTAAGCTACTTAACACAGACCTATGACTCATTCAAGGATAAAAAAAAGACATCTAACTCGAGGAATGAACCAGTGTTGTGTCTACACGTAACAGAGAACTTAGCAGAGAGCCAAATTTAAATTCTATCTTTAGGCACTTTGTTACTTGCAGCCTGTCACAAAAACAGATGATTTGTTTTGATTTCTTTAGTTGAATTTAATCTGAAAAATGCCAAAGATAACACAGTTTGACAGGCACAAAATACGCTGCCATGTTCTACAGTATGTTGACTCCTCTATGACAAGAACTTGGTGACAGTGGGAAGGAAAAACTCCCTTTTAACAGGAAAAACCTCAGGCAGAACCAGGTTCAGGGAGGGGCAGCCATTCACTGCGACCAGTTGGGAGTGGTAGATGGCGAACTGTAGATGGATCCACTTACTGTGGACCCATCAGAAATGGTCTCAGTGAAAGGGTGGCTGTCAAGAAGCCATTCTTAAGAAAGAAAAACAGGGAGAAAAGACTGAGGTATGCCAAATTACACAAGAACTAGACTTGTCAGTGACAACAGGCCTTATGAAGTAATAAGTAATGACAGAACAAAAGGCAGCCAACATCCAAAGAAGAAGTTTGAATGTCCTTGAATGTCAAGAAGCCTGGAGAACTATTTCTGAAGACTTCTTAAAGAAATGACACGAAAACTTGCCTAAGAGAGTTCAGGCTGTGTTGAAGAATAAAGGTTTGTCAAACCAAATACTGACTTTAGAATTGTACCGCAAACAAAAAGCTTACCACTTATCTTGTCCAATTTTGAAAACACAGGCTACAAACACTATGTACTTAATTAATTTCATATTTCTTTTATGTAAAAACAAAAGAAAAATGTAAACGGAGAGAACGCATTCTGCAACTTCCATTCATCCTGCAGTACCAAGATTATTTCAGGACTCCTGCTTCCTAATGACAGAGTACAGGCACAGATTTCAAGGGTGAAAGACGAGTGCAATGCATAAAGAGCAGAGAAACTGGAGAGTTTAGGGCTACATACCTGCACATGTGCGCACTCATTTGCATTATCCAGGTTCCAGTTCATGTGACCTGCGTGCCATTTGACTGTGTGAAGAAACAACTGAACACACTGGGCTGAGGAACGTTATGCAAATTAATGCTAAGATTCAAACTCAGGTCCTTCTTGCTGTGATGTGACAACTGAACATCTCTGACACCCAACAAAGCACACTCTCCTTCCTTCCAAGTAAACTTCATGCACAGTCCAACTGTGGCATGTTTAACACGGTTATGCTTTGTTTCACAATAACAAGTGATTTTTTTTAAATTTATTTAAAATTATGCATATGGTGGGTTGCCATCAGTGCGACCAGATGATGTAGTACAGTCACACAGCAAAACCAGATGGCTGGAGAAGTGATAATGAGCTCATTCTGGCTTGCTCCAAAAGCCTTCACTTGCTTACAGCATGTAGAGTGTTAAATCAAACATAAATAGAATATCAGTATATCTATTCCTCTGCTATCACTATATAATTACACATCTGGCAAATTACAAAAAGCTTTTATTCTTTTTTTTTTAACTTCTTCTAATCATCTGCAAAGCACTTACTACTGTTTATGCCAGCCTAGGTTTATTATCTTAAAATGGTTTTAAAAGCATGAAGATTATCTACACCTTGAAAGCCCGGCTGTCCCTTTGGGCATTCACCCAACCCAATCAACCCCCACACACCACTGCGCATCACCCGTCCTGCACTGCCAGCTCCTGAATGAACGTTACATTCATCCAGATGACTGTGGGTTTTTTTTTTCTTGATTTGCTTTGCACTCTCAAATGTTAATAAACTGGAAAGGCTGCACCTCCACACTTACTACATTAACACTGACAAAGCAGCCCATGCCAAGTGAGCGAGCGGGGAAGACAAACAGCTGCAGTAAATTCACAGCCTGACCTTCGTCAGTCTTGGATGGCGGGTAACAAATGTATTTTTCCATGGGATGCATGTTAGAGC